GCTAGGGGAGCTAACAAATTAATTGGAAACAAACAAACAAACAAACAAACTAGCATTCTAATTTTGTATTTGAATTTAGAGTCAAATGGCCATAAACTAGACTGATGCATCTTTAGACTGATGTTGCCAGAAGCCATGCTTCAGCAACCATCATGGAAAAGAGCCCAGATTAGGATAGCACAAAACACTGGAGGACCTGACCACAGGAACCCACTGCTTGCTTCAACTCTGCAAGATAGCCATGCTTATCTTCAAACAAGAACAATTTCCTGCGAATATTCTATAAGGTGTGGACAGTCTGGCCGTGTTGGCCTAGTCTGAGGGACAGGGAGGTCAGCGGTAGCTCACTTCAGACTCTTCTAGTTTGGCACATCTTTCACAGAATTACGATAGCAACCTTCCAAGCCAATGTGCTCTCTACTCACGCCACTAAGCTGTAAAATGGGTAATATTTATATTACATATAAACATATAGTTCTATAAGATATATCTACTCATATGCTAATGATAATATTTACCTGTGTTAAATAAAATACACATGATAACTGGCTTGGAAATTGCTATGAGCACTACACTGAGATAATAGAACGCATAGTATATGTTGAACACTATGATTGCTTTTTCATATTACCTTACATGTTCTCATATAAGGAATCAAATCCCATTTTATAGATACAAAAACCGAGTCTTTGGGAGGATAAGCTACTTGTCCATGGTCACAGGGTCAATTTTCACTACAGCCAGATGTGAATCCAACAGAATTACAGAGCTTGTGTGATACTTTCTCAGAACTCTTCCCTAAATATCTCTGAGGGGTCTACTCCTTAAAATTAGGGACACAAGACCTCCCCTGGTGCAGCTAAGGTTTTCAGTGGGTCCATACTACTCCTTGGTCCTCATTTTCCTTAATTCTATACACACTGTCAGGCTATTTTGTCCAGCGACATCATATATGTTCTCATTAACCAAAGGCCCTGGTGGCTCCCAGGTTCCTCTACCCCTTCAGACAGCCCTGTATAGTTCCTTTCCGCAGCGTTTGTCACAGTTTATGCATGCCTGCAACACATATTTAAAACCTTGAGCTTGATGCGTAGTAAGCACATGGGTAGGTAATGCTGCTCAAGTCAAATGAAGATGGTCTTTGTGGCTCTTAAGATGTCTTCAGTTTCCTGAGTCATTTTCCTTTTGGCAGAGGTTTTAGGGACGTTCTTGGGTATAACATGCAGTTCTCTGCTTATCTGTACGTGTGTGCCCATGAGATCAAGAGCTATGAGAAGGCAGCAGCCATATTAATATATTATATTTGCTATTCTAAGAGCTAAAACACCACCTGGCCAATACCAGTATTCTAATTAGATGCATACATAATTCTGCCTATTAGGTCGGTCTGCCTGAGCTTTACTGCCGCCTTTTTCTTTGCTTTAGTCCTGTTCTTTGGAACTTCAGGGCACAGTCCAGGAGTACATCTCTAAGCATCTGTATTATTATTACAAACTCTGACAAAGCACTACAGGAAAATCCTTTAAATTTTTGCTTTGAAACCACTAGATGCTTTAAAATTTCTCTTTCTTATTCTCTTTAGGAGAACACACTCTGAAATGCTGAGTGCACTAACCAAGATGGACAGTATGAGATGACAAATGAATGAATGAAATTTTAAGTTCAATGTTCCCGGCATCCTTACATCCATGTAAGGTAAAGAGAAAAGCTCTTAGTCACCCAAGCTGGGGATATCTGGGCCAAGAGCTCAGCTGAGGAATACAGTGAACAGGATTCTTAGGTACCTGACTCTGCATGTATGATAGTTTCTCTTTCAGGTGACTGGAATGGTGACCACAATGGGGCCTCACCTTGTGACTAGGTTAAAGCAATAGTTTGTCTTGTAGGCCACAGGGAAGAAAGCAAGCAGTCTGATTGCGTAATGCTTCTAGAGAGGTGCGCCCTTCACAAACCAAAGCTCCCTAAGTCTCACAGGGAGCAAGAACGTTTATTACACCTGATGTTCAAGTGTAGTCACGGCCTCTGTAGATACCTTGGCTGAAGCTTTTGCTGAGGACCCAGCCAAGCTGTTCCAAACTGCAGCCAACAGAAACTGCAAGGTAATAAACTCGATGGTTTTAAGCTGCTAAGTTTGTGGTAATCTGCTGCACAGCAATTGTAAGCTAATACAAGGCATTCCTATCACAAAGGAGTGTAACAGTCATTTCTGCACACCGATTAGATCACAAAGACTAATCCCATTACTAAATCAAGTCCTCTTTGTATTTCATTTGTCTTCCATGAAATCTTTTCTGATGAGACCTTGCCCATCAGATGCAGGGTCTGGGGCTGGAGAGGGGGTGTACAGGACGGGTTGTGAATATCCACAGTGAGTGACAAATATCTCTCCCACTAGGGTTGGCTTAGCTCTCTCCCCCAAGGAGGAGAGGTCACTAATCAAGAAGTTTGGGCAAGCAGACACCTGTGAGCTGGGCTCTGCTTTTACCCTGGGCTGGCATTTGGGGTGAAGTCTGGCTCTCAAGTAAACCTTACAAAGAAATGAGGCCACCAGTGGCAATAGGCTGGCTGCTTCCGTGGGTTTGGGATGTTGATCGGAAGGTTTCTTAGCCAAGCAGTAAAGAGACCCTGTCTTAGAGCAGCTGCCCTACAGTTCCAAATGGAACAGTCCAGGCAGAAGCCAGAGGAAGGAACAGAACTGTGAACAGACACATCTAATCTGGTGTCTTTTTAGAGGTTGACCATCAAGTGGGTGCTGTGGGACTGACGCAAAGAGAAACCCATAAAGACATTGGCTCTGCTGATTTCTCCAGTTTCTTGAGAAAAAAAAAAAAAAAAAACCAAACAAATAGTGAAACAAAAACAAACAAAAAGCAATGGACCGAACAACAACAACTTATAACCACAAAAATTAAATATAAAAAACCCCACAAAAACTAAACCAAAACAACAACAACAAAATAACAAACACAGCAGCCTGGGCCCAACGTTCCCTTCCTCCCCCCCCCCTTCTTTCTCTCTCCCCACCCAGGATCTGCCAGTGTAAATAGCAACTCCAGCATTTTAACTAAGGGAGTTACCATGGGGACGCAGCAGGCAGCACCGGCAGCAGGGTGGCGGCTGCAGCACAGAGGGAGGACAGAGACAGAGGCCACCAGTCGATCAGACTGTGCAGGATGGATGCCTTCAAGAAACCAGGCTGGCAGCGGGCCACTGGGCAAGAGGGACAGAGGGTCCTACTGGAGGGTTTCATTTTGCCAACTCCTATATCCCTACACCCAGATGGGAAGCCAGTCTTACTTTTATTTAAGACTTTATTTTTATTTTTGGTTATATGTGTATTCTGGGGGGTGTTTGGATATGGCTATAGTGTGCATGAGGCCAGAGGAAAGCTTGGGTTCCCCTGCACCTCAAGTTACAGGCAGTTGCAAGCTGCCCTGAATATTCTTACTGGGAACTGAACTCGGGTCTCCTGCTCAGACTGTTTGCAATCTTCATTGCTGAGCCATCTCTTCTGCATTGTTCCCCCCCCACCCCCACCCCCTTTAACTTCTCTCGATTACGGGATTCCAGTGGCCTAGAGATGTATCTTGCTGGCTGACACTCTCATTTTGAATTTCACGCAATCCAAAAACACAGTGAAGTAAGGGAGGTGGGAAAAGATTCGGGGGAGCTTTAAATAAGGTCCACCAACCACAAAAGACTACCACTAAGAAGAGACAGAGAAAATGCAGACAGGAAAGCTGAATAATGCATGATACCAGAGAGGAAAGCAACCCTGGAATAGCCGTGAATCTTCCAGTTTGATTCCAAAGGAACAAAACTCTACACACCATGAAACAGTGTCCATGACACACTAACATTGAAAGATTAAAGCCCTAATGTTGGGGATATTTTCAGAAGTTGAACAGGCACAAAAGATGACCAAATCAAGATGAACTGTGGATTGCGAGGCACACCTATCCTACGGGACATGCTTGTCGATCAACTGTCAAAATCTACTTGTAGAGCAAAGGGAAACTCTGATTGTTAACTATCTCAGAGGCTGGAGAAGAGAAGCCAAGGGTTCACAGAAATCCACTGGTCTACAGAGTAGAAGAATTAAGAACTGGTTCTTGTATATTTTGCTCCCAGTTCTCACGCTTATTTTTGTTTTTTGTTGTTTGTTTGTTAGAGACAGAGTTTCTCTATGTAGCCTTGGCTCTCCTGGACTCACTTTGTAGACCAAGCTGGCCTCGAACTCAAACTCACAGTGATCTGACAGCCTCTGCCTCCCTGAGTGCTGGGATCACAGGCACCCAATTCCTCATGCTTTTTTAAAAGGACGTTCTAGCCCCATTTGTTTTGTCAAATAAATATTTTGAATTCATAAGTAAGGTCATGAGCACCACTGAAGCCAGACAGAAAACATCAAACCAATCAATCGGGTCCCTATCAAGCCACCTTCTTGACTCCTTATGCTAAGGGACACATGTGTTGCTCAACTTTGGGCTTCTTAAGAGGCCCACAGTATAATACACGGTAATCTAAAAATTGATTATTGAAGTCAATGGAGTACAATCTCTATCCGTACAGTACGGAAAAGATCCCGGCTTTCAAGAAGTGAGAACCAGCCCTCTTTGGAGGAAGTGTCACTGTGATGTGTTAGTAAAATGACAATAAGCACATGGCTCTGATAGGTCCCGTAAGACAACGAAACAGTGCTGCATAACGATAACAACAACAAAAAACATTCCTGGTCTCCTGCTGTCACCTGTGCTGCTCACCCAGAGGAATAGCCGTAGCAATAATGGGTTTTTCCAGCACTATATGGAAACCAGTGGGCCATCCTGCCTCTCAGCCTGTGTTTCTGGGTCCTTAGAACTTTGCTCAAAGCTAGCGCAGCGCGCAGCATTCAGGGTAGTAGAATTGAAACTCTGGGGAGAGCCAGCCCACGAACTTCGACCCTGCCGGATCAGCGTTTTTCTCTAAAGGACCCAACAACCTTCCCAGGCAAGCCTCACTCACCTCGCATCCAGAAACCGCGAGCGCAGGATCATGACGGCCTCGCACGTGCTCTGCTTGAGCTGCATCTGGATGGAGCTGAACTTGCGGTGGATGATGCTAACCATCCGCTCGATCTCCTTCGGGGAGATGGGTCTGGTCCGGCTCTGCTCTCGAAGGAGGTTCATCACATGGGTGGTGAATTCATTGCAGGCCTGCAGCGGAGACACGGTGAGCAGGGGGTGAGCTGAAGTTCATGGCTTAGCAAGCAGAGTCCACAATATGGGGCCTGGATGCTTTTCTAGAGACTTGCACAAGTGGAGAAAACTAGAAGGAGGCGAGAGCTAGAATAAATGATTGTCTAGAAATTCCTTTTCTCCCTAGTGGCTCTAGTTCTACGTTTTTGGCTTCAACTTCTTAAGGGAAAAATTAAATTCGGAATCATTTTAACATCATTTTTTTTTTTTTTTTGGTTCTGTGAATTTACGACAGTAAAAGGGGAGATAGTTAACATCGCCTTGCCTTTTGCCCCTACATTAAGAGGAGAGAGACGTGGGGTCAGATTCATCATGAGCTTTCTCCGCCTTGCTCATTATCCCTGATAGGGTACGGCTTCCAGATATTCCATTTTGGGAAACAAAAACAGCCAAAAGGGTTTAAGTAGAATGACAAAATAAGTATCTCTGATAACTCTTCCCGGAGATTTCTTATTAGTTGGCTTTGAATTTTATCTAAAGAAACCCTCTTATGCCTGGTCGATAACACAGTGGAATCTGTCCCCAGGAACCTAAAAAGAGGATCCAATGTGATTTAGAGGATCCAGAAACTTCCCTTGCAGGAGCATACTATCAGTCAACCATGGAGATCAAAGCAGAAAATAACTTCTCCACTTCTTTCTTTTCCAGTTGGGAAGACTGTGGTCCAAAGGGATGAAGGGACTTTCCCAATGGCACACAGGAGGCATGAAAGGGCTAAAACGAGACCCAAACACTTCCTATTATTATGGGCCTGGAAATTCAGAGCCTGAACTCACTCTTTGGGAAACCACTACCCTCTCTTTTAGTTATTAATACTTAACATCCATAGTCTAGTTTCATTAACTGAACACTCAATAAAATATCTATTCACCGATTAACTCACAGCAATGCTGTAAAACTGTGTTAGATTTGTAATGAAGAGAGCAAGGTGAAGCTTTGAGAACTTCAAACTCAGGACTCAGAGGACTCCAAGTTTAATATGAAGAGCAGAAACATGCGTATTATTGACAACACTGCATTACCATGTTTTTTTATATCATAAAACTCTTCACTTGGGTCAAGAATGCAATAGCAATAACAGGAGCCCACACTCATGGACTCTTTATTGAAGAATCCTTTGAGTTTGGATGACCAAAAGAACATGGCCAGAGGCATCCACAGGGCAGCATCTGAACTCCACAGTGGGGAGGCCTGCTTTGAACCCTTCCCCTGTGAGCATTTATGCAAATTCGTTCATCACCAAAGGATACATTTTATTCATCTTAGAGATTTAATTATTAGTCAATCCTCTAACACAGTAAAAGGTACCCATATTCTTGTGCACAAAGATCTACATGTAGAGGAGATCACTTGTATGGACCAGGAAGTGGGCTGAGGGACAAGTTGCCTGGGTTCCGGCCTGCAGGACTTCAGTTCTTTAATGCATCTGTGTCTCTTTTCCCCTGTAAACTAGGGGTGATGACCCCTAACCTAATGAAGTGCAACAGAGATCTGCAGAGTTACTATAGATGTACGCATAGATGGACCAACAAACTGTGACCTCATTATGGGTTCATAAATTAGGGGCTGGAGAGATGGCTCAGAAGCTAAGGACATTTGCTGCTTGCAGGCTTCTGGCAGAGGACTTGGGTTTGGTTCTCAGCACCCACGTAGCAGCTCATAACCGTCTGTAGCTCCAGTTCAAGGGAATCTGATACACGTCTCTGGCCTCCTTGGTCACTGCATATATGTGTGGTGCATGTAGAAACACTCAGGCAAAACATTTCTTTACATGAAATAAAGTAAACAAATATAGAGGTATTGCATTTGCTTTCCCTGGATTTCCCCAGAGTTGGCCACTGCCTCTTTTCCTCATCTTTGGCCTTATATCTTTTGATCTTTCTTGTGCTGGGTGTGCTTGTCATTTTTTATGGGCTCAGATTCACTCTCTTTTTCTTCTTCCTGTTTTCTTTCCTTCCTTCCTTCTTTTATGTACATATGTAGTAACTCTGTACCTTAGAACTCTACCTTATTACCCTGACAATGTACACTTCTGCAGGCTTCATTTCCGTCCTGGTAAAATAAACGTGACAATTCATGTCCCCCTTTCTACTCTGCAGGAAGATGCTGAAGAAAAGCCACTAATGGGTTTACACAGCATTCTCCACTCAGAAAAGTATTATCAAGACATGGGTCTGTTCCAATCTTATTCCCAAGCCAAACCTAGGCTGTGGGACTGTTCCACATAGACAGCAAAGTGAAAACTGGCCAGTGAGCTAGCAGGAATTCTGAGGTCCCCGTGACATAGAGTAGAGAGTGAGGCTCAGAGTAAGCCCACAGCCATCTGAGAAAACAGAGCATCTGCTCAGCTGGAGCATCCCTAAGTCTAGGGGACTGTCAGGGAGCAGGAGCTGAAGGCTAGGAGGTACCGTCAAATTTACCAGCTCTCAGCTGGGAAGCCATAGGGCTTGGTTAATAATAATGTGTTTCATTACAGTGAATCAAAAATACTCACAATATCTGGTGTTTAGTCAGGGCATTTTATTCCAGGGCCTTTTATGCTCAGCAATGAGCTGACAGTGGAGTCCTTCCACCCACTGCTGAGGTGGAGCAAAGCAGCTGCTGAGCAGCTGGGCGAACACACAGCTGAGGCTCAAGGTTTCCAAGCCTGTCTTAGATGGACAGGACAAAATGATCCAGATTCTTCTAGGAACTGAACTGCCTATAACAACCCCTCAGCTGTCCACCGGAACAATGTTGGAAGCTGGGCTGCTTCTGTTAGCTCAGGTGCTCACAATGTGGCAGTAAGGTATTATTTGAGGTTAACATATAATAGAATCCTCTCTCTGCTGTGGACTGTTAAGAGAACTATGATGAAGAGCTCTGGTTACCTTGTGGGACAGGGAGATTTCTAGAAAGAAGTATCCCAAGTAGGCTGCCTAAGGGTAGCTGGAGACACAGCACACTAAAAAGAAGCCGAGGTAGGGAACCTTGCAAGGTTCGATTTTGCCTGACATCCTGCATGACAACCCATCTTCTGACTAATGTGGCATCCTTCACAAAGGCAGAAGAGATCACTTGTATGGACCAGGAAGTGGGCTGAAGGACAGGTTGCCTGGGTTCCAGCCTGCAGGACTTCAGTTCTTAAATGCATCTGTGTCTCTTTTCCCTTGTAAGCTGGGAATGATAACTCCTAACCTAATGAGGTGCAACAGAGATCTATAGAGTTACTGTATATGTACATAAAAGAAGGAAGGAAGGAAAGAAAACAGGAAGAAGAAAAAGAGTGAATCTGAGCCCTGAAAAAATGACAAGCACACCCAGCATAAGAAAGATCAAAAGATATAAGGCCAAAGATGAGGAAAAGAGGCAGTGGCCAACTCTGGGGAAATCCAGGGAAAGCAAATGCAATCATGGCACGCTAATTGGGTCAGCTACAAATACTACTTGCACAGTAATAATGTAAATAATGAATAATGATTGATCTGAATAGAGAGAGATGGGCACACTAGGACATGGAGGGAAAACTTACAGTGAGTGTGCTTATGAGAGAGTGTAAGGGTTTCAAACCTTATCTCCACATGCTCCCTTAGCTGTTAACTGAGTTATTCCACCTGAGATGGAGACTTGGCTATGTTTGCACTCTAGTGGCATTGTTACAGAAGTGGAAGAGCTCCTTGAAGCAACAAGAAGGTCTCTATCTATCTATCTATCTATCTATCTATCTATCTATCTATCTATCTATCTATCTATCTATCTACCTATCTGATCATTTTTATGAACAGCCCTCGGAATAAGATTTGGTTTTCTGACACCATGGCTTTTTATCTATTGAGCATGTCAGCTCTTAACTACTCTTAGCCACCAACATGATCTGCTACAGAAGCATTTTAGTGATCTCATTTAATAGGGATGGAAGCTTCTAGAAGCTCATTTATTAACCTTGGGATGAAACAGTATCTTGTTTAGGCGGACCTATTTGGAGAGCTGGGGGGTGAGGGAAGTGGTTGTAGTTAATGATTGTGTAGTTATCTGTTATCAATATAGAAAGAACTAAACAAAGACAGCAGACTCAACAGTAACAGCTATGAGCGTGGAGGGTGACATTTCACCTGACTGAGGTTCCCTACTTATAACAAAGCCCCCATGAGGAACTGTTGCAGAAAAGTGAAGAAGATGGATCTCTCAAACACACCAGCTAAAAGGTTAACAGTGCCATGGCTGCGCAAGCTGCTATTTATTATAATTAACAAACTGATTTTAATAAATTATTAAGCATCCAGAATGTGTTAAGCAGAACTCACTTCTTACCCAGAAACTGCCCACATAAATAAGGAGACCTGACGCTTTACTTCCTAAATCTAATAAATACACAAGTCGACCACTGCTATATTTGCATAATTTGTTCTGTCCTCATGGGTTTTTTCCCCCCCTAAGTTCTTTGCTTCCAACATCTTTATGACTTAGATTAGGTGTGAATCCATAAGAAATTTCTAGAGAGACCATTTTTATCACTAGCCTGGTGCCAGCAGTCCAGCTCAGGGAGGTAACAGACACTCTTGTTATTTAACGCTGACCAGTGTTCACACTTTGTTTTTACTAAATGAAGCCAGGTCTTGTTTTAATAAGAGCCCTTGGCCTAAGTTTTAAGACAGGACTCTAGAGAAACCTTTATTCCTCATCAGACGTGTGACCTCAGACACAAACAGCCTGTTTCACCTCACCTTCCTCATCTGCATCAAGCAGTCCTAGGCATCCAATGACAAAATGGCCTGGAAGAGCAACTACAATTCCACTGGCCCTGGTGTTTTGCAATAGTGAGTATGTTACTGAAATGGACTATTTATTGCTGCCCGAGTTGGTTGCATTTTGGAGGGAGATGTGAGAGGGAGAAGGGGGTTTCAATGGAGAAATCAGTTCTGTACTGTTGACATCCCAAGCTAACAATGAAGCCATCCTTCAACACCTCCAAGCCTAAAAGCCAACTGCAGTTGTGTGGTTGGAGGAAGCTGTATTTATTCTAAGTTCCTTTCATGCATTGATTTCATGGCATCGAGTTAACATAGACATCAGGTCTAGGCGGGTTGCTAGGCAAGGGCCATGCTTCCTGGAGAAGGTGAAATAAGAATGGCATAGAGGAGATAAACCAAGAGGCCATCCAAAAATCTTTGTAAGAAAAGTCTGCACTTGCATCTTCTAAAGTTACCCTGCTAGGTTAGTGCAAAGCCCAGAGTCAGGAGGATCCAGGTGGGGAGAAAAAGCACCTTCAGTAGACAGGCCAGCTTATCCCAGACTCCTGGGACCTGAGGCAAGGCTTTGCGAGCCAACAGTGTGTCAAGAACATTTGTTCTTCCTAAGAAGGTACAGGGCAATGACTCACAGTTCTTAACATGCTGATTTTTATTTTCCCTTCCATCAGCCCACTGCATCTTGGATGAATTTCACAGAGCTTAACTTAAGGAGGCATAGTATTTCCGTCTGCTTAAGAGAGTGGACGGCCTGAGTATACATCCCAAAGGTGGACAGGAGCGCAATAATGAAACTTTCTCTACTTTAAATTTTAAAACGTCCATTTCTATTTTAAAATTTAGATTTTCTATTACGTTTGCATTTGCCGTTACCTAGGCAGTCCTAAGTAGACTGCTTTTCTTTTTGCACTCATAAAAATAGTAAAAGAAAATCTAATTCAAGGAAAAGACATTCGTATAGAACCTGAGTTCAGCATCGAACCCAATGGTGAAAACAAATGTGTTTGTTGGCTAAATAAATGGATGAAAGCTGGGTGGTAAAGGGCTCCTGCTAGAGCACTATTGTTCACAGTGGCTGGAGAGCCAGCCAGCACTGATACAGAAGTCCGAGTGAGTGAACAGGGAACAAGCAAGGCTTTCCCTAAGAGCAGAGAGCTTTGTCTTCAGTAGGGTACCGCATCTCTGTCTACTGTTTTGTGGATTAAAGCCATCCTAATTTTTTTTCCTTAGAGGGCTTCTATGATCACTCACGAAGCTACAATTTTCTCTCAAACACCTGCTCCTTGGGGTCCAGTGCGCACTATCAGAAGAATGCTAGGACTCCATGTGAGGTTCTCTAGAACATTTCCTAAGATGATCTACTCTTTCTGTAGATAATTGTGCATTGCCTCACATATCACCCACAAAGAAGAGGGCAGGTTTGACTCAGCTGCCTCCAGGTTCAAGTACGTCTTCCCATGGGATTCTCTGAACTTTCAGAACAGTAATGTCCCTGAAAGAAACAACAAGCTGTGGCCAAAGGAAGGCAGCAGCCGCCTGCAATCAGGTGGCGACTCTGACAACACTTTGGGAGACCCTGTAAACACATTCCACATCCCACATATGTTCCAAAGTTCCTGGCACAGGATATCCCTTACATTGACCGTTCATAGTTCTTCAGGTCGCCATTTACAATGTCATGGATTTTAGTGTCTTACCCCATGAAAGGCCTGGGCTTTTAATAGTTGAGACCAGAGTTTTGAGGGTACTCAAGACTCTACGACAGTAAGACCTGACCTCTGGGCAAGGCCTGACCAAGGCATGCTTGTGAGGCCAAGGTTTCTTCTGCCCTTTCCTTGTCCGTGGCCACCACGAAGCCCAGTCTACACTGGGATGGTTACCTGCTCGTACTTCTCCAGCTCTGTGTGGTAGATTTGTCTGATCTGTGAGAGTTTGGCTCTGTAATCGGAATGCTCCACTGAGTTGTCTGAACCCGCGCCCCCAGAAGCTGCCGCTGCCGCTGCTGCTGCTGCTGAGCCTCCGCCCTTCTCTGGCCCTGCCACCCCCTCTGCTAGCAGCATGTTGTCCAGTCGCATCAGTTGGGGGTCTGTGGGCTCCTCTTCCTGGGCTCCCCGAATACTCAAAACTACAGAGAAAGATGAAGGGAAAAGAAAGCATTAGTGGCAGCAAACTCAGGGGAAACATTTAACAAACACAAAATACGAGAACTCATCTGCGTCCCTCAGCTAAGCCAGCTTCTAGCCCCTGCCATACGGCATGTAGAGAACGGAGGACGGGAAGGGCAAGAATTGAGAGGGTGCGTATGTGGGAGGAGACACTTGCTTTCCTCCAAAGAAACGCTACTTACATGGGGTACCTAGAACAGGAGAACAGTAGGGTGGGGACCAGAGAGAGGGCCATGGAGAGTTAGTGTGTCATATGTTTCACTAGGAGAAAATGTAAGAAGGTCCCAGCATTCAGTGGAGGCAGGAGGATCCAGAGTTCAAGGTGTGTGTGTGTGTGTGTGTGTGTGTGTGTGTGTGTGTGTGTGTGTG